GGTTTGGGGGGGCTTAGTGGTATTTTTTCTTTTGTTTTTGAGGACAGTAATGTTACTCCTGTGTTTCTGTTTGTCTTTTATGTGTTATTAAGTGTCAGGCATCCAAATAAAGGGTAATTTCTTGCTCTTAAAGCTCCTGTGAGGAATTATTGATTTTTGGTGATTCTGGCTCCCCCTATGGACAAAGTGTTTTTTTACTGTTCTTGTCCTGTATATGTGTACATAATGGGTTTTTTTTTAAAACAAAAAGTCTCATCCTGCATCCTCACACTTGTCAAATCTATCACTAATTGTGAACATTTGCTGTGGAAATATAAACACTACCAGGCATTTCTAATTAAGATGGAGACATAATCAAACTTGTTAAATAATCAGCAAAAACTCCTCATTTGGAGTTTTTATAACCAACAATTGCAAGCAATCTCTTGTACGCTATCTTAACTACACTAGTACTTTGGCAACATTTCTGTCCCAAAATGTAGTCAGTGTGTTGGTGCAATTTAAACATTGACTTCAATTTTCGCCAAGTAAAGAGTAAAGACCCATTTTAAAGTATGCCATCTCAAATATCACTCACCAGAGTCGTTCTGAACTGTCACTTAAATGAGCCAAAGCCGCTCACTCTCATTTTAGCTCCTGGTAGCTTTGGGTTAAAAACTTATAGAAGATCTGCAGTTTTTTTGAAGCTTTAGTACTTTTTCAATGCTATATTGATAATAAAACATTATTTTAAAACATTCTGTATCGAAAAGTATCACAGTATTCAAAAGACTTAATCACCAGTAGCAGAAGTCATGCTACCTCAGTTACCTGAAGAGCTGCTGCTATAAAAACATTTAGCTTTCATCACTCTGTTCTGACTTTGATAGTTAATCCTTTGATTGTTAATTATTATCAAAACCAAACATTGAGTGTTTTCACTTCACAGATGAAATGGATGAGTCCTGCTCCTCCCTTCTTCATCCAGTGCATCAGACATCAAATACTTCTGATAGAAATGCAGGGCGAGATTCCCCTGAACCCTGCAGACACTTTCCCTTTGATGCGTAAGCCAGGCATTAATCAATGTTTGTATGTTTCTTATGTTGTCTGGACTCAAGTTTATTAGAAAAACAGCCAAATGTATCAGATTTAAAGAGCATCTCTGAAATTGATAGTTGTCTACTACTTTAAGTTTTAAAGGTAGAGTCAGCAGAAATGTCTGTTGCAGCTTGTAAACACAACATTCACACTGGGCCCATCACCCGCAGAACCACAGACCCACTGCAGGTTTAGTATGTATGTTGACCGCTTGTACCTACACTTCAAGCTACTGCACACGAGAACAAGCTAACCCCCGATGTTTGGCACCTGAGAAAGCAGACCAACTCTGAATCCGTGCGTAAAAGCCTACACAAGGTTCACCCTCGTTTTGGAACAAGCTTTATCTGCTCAGAGTTTCGGCTCACTTTGATAATATTTTTTCTTCTTTGCCACTACATCCTAATCCATCATATTTTGAGTTTGAATGTTTGAATGCCGTCCAATCACTGAATTGAATCTCCTCCTAAACTCGCCCACGTGCTGTCATGGGCCTACTGACCCTATCTTTAACCCATGTTGACTTTGAAATAGAATGTCACCAACAACAAAAATGGGAAATGAGTTGGGTATATTTTATTCTTGTAAAGGTTAAGAAAATAATATTACTTTGTTAGTTGGCTAGTATTTTCAACTCAACATTAGGTTAAGGTAAAGCTTCAGAGGCTGCTCAAGTTTGATTTAAAATCTATCAGTGTTTCCCAAATATTCTAATAAATACTAGCCTGAATAAAAAGGCTAAAAAACAGAGTTTAAATTACGTTGGGTAGGTCACACCCGATGTAACACAGCAATAATTAATGTGGAGGGCTTAAACTTTTCCAGAAAAAACTTCTCAGTTCAAAGAAAAACATTTATTTGACCAGATGCAATAAAGTGTCTTCAAGTTGTTTCTGCAAAGTCATATTCATGAAAATGGGACAGATGTGAGGCCGCAGTAACCTTGACCTTTAAGCAAACAGATCCAAACAGTTCCTCCTTGAGACCAGGAGGACTGGAGCGCCAAATCCGAAAATATTCTGATGACGTTATCCCAACATATCACATGCACATGAACTTGACAAATGCATGGAGAGACAGACAGACGGAGAGACAGACAGACAGACAGACAGACAGGCAGACAGGCAGACAGGCAGACAGACAGACAGACAGACAGACAGACAGACGACAGGCAGACCGGCAGACAGACAGACAGGCGACAGGCAGGCAGACAGACAGACAGGTAGATGACAGGCAGGCAGACAGACAGACAGACAGACAGACAGACGGCAGGCAGACAGACAGACAGACAGACAGACAGACAGACGGCAGGCAGACAGACAGGCAGACCGGCAGACAGACAGACAGACGACAGGCAGACAGACAGACAGACAGACAGACAGACAGACAGACAGACAGACAGACAGACAGACAGAAGACAGGCAGGCAGACAGAGAGACAGACAGACAGACGACAGGCAGACAGACAGACAGACAGACAGGCAGGCAGGCAGACAGACAGACAGACAGACAGACAGACGACAGGCAGGCCGACAGACAGACAGACAGACAGACAGACAGACAGACAGACAGACAGACGACAGGCAGACAGACAGACAGACAGACAGACAGACAGACAGACAGAAGACAGGCAGGCAGACAACCTGAGAACATAATGCCTCCAGCCTCTGCTGTGGACATTGCAGAGGCATAAAAAACAAACAAGAGAAAATTGACTGGTGTGCATATTTATTGTTGTCTTAAGAAATAATGACACAGTCAGGACTGAAAAGGCCATCTTAACCTTACTCCAGGACCCTGCATCTCTTCTTAATTAAACAGAAGGAAAGAAGGTCTGATCTCTTTTAAAGTAGAAAACAGCCTCCACTGTTTGACGGACAGTTGGTGATTGACTCAGTGAATCGATACTTTGGGGAACACGGATAAGCAAATGCAGTCACCTTTTTCCCCAGACCTCCGAGGGCTAACAGGATTTTTTTCCACAGTGGCAGACAGCATCCTCACAGAGCAGTGTCTGTGTTCCCACTGTGGCCAAAGGGGGCAGTACAGTACTACATCATATATTCCAATCAAAACCTTTAACAAATGACAGTAACAGTATATCTGTTCTGTGCCAAATCCTTAGCATGAATTTGACTTGTATGAGCTAAAATAATGTAGTCCAAAAACTGTGTGTTTTCATTAAACTGTCTATCAACCCACAATCGAATCTTCATGCAAACCCTACCAACTAATTCCCTCCTATCAGCATCAAGACCACATGGTCCTTCTGCACATTCGGGGATACATAACTCTCCGCCAATGCAATCAACCCCGTCCTTTTTTTAAAAAGAGCCTTCCCAATTAAAAGTGTGCCAGTTAATCCATTCTGATCCTGTTGAAGAGCGCCGGGCCGCTCTCACTGCCCTGCGGTCAGCCTAGCAAGCTGAGCTGATTGATTCTGAACCAATCTTCTCCACAAGACTGCAGCCCAGGATGTAATGACCCACAACTAAAGCTTGGATTAGAAGGCAGCCAAAGGAAACGTGGCTGGACCGACCGCCAGCAGTAACCTTCTGGACTCAGCCTGTTTGTGAGTTAGGCTGAATAACTTGGCCTGGTAGGAGGAGTGCGGGGTGACTAATTAAGGGTCTGCTTTATTTGCCAATCCATTCACTTTTATGGTGACTAATTGGCAAAGTTGTGTACTGGTGCTTCAGCCACATTTTGAACCATTAAAATCCAAGTCTAATATGATTGACGATAAAACCTTTACCTGTTTCAATGACAACCTTCCCCACTCCATGGTGCTCTGAACAGCCGTGTCCACACTGCATTGTGGTACCTCTGTGCACAGTTGGGTTCTAGAAACCACTTACAAACCCTGACCTACAAACCCTATTAGCAGAGTGTGTGAGGACATACAGTATGACGTGTTAGGGTCTGTAGACACACATACTTCCTGCTCTCTGCTCTGGCCACACCACTCAGCAGAAACTTGACAATTAAGCAAACCACCAACTGGCCTTACGCCTTTGGGAGTCACCACTGCCATCCCCCACACACACACACACACACACACACACACACACACACACACACACACACTCACACAACCGAGCAGGTTACATTAGCATACGCAGGTGAAAGGTGAGCCAATCAGTGCTGTCTCTACTGTTATTCTGGCTGGCACTAATGACGGGTGTGGCTGAAAGTGACACATATGAGGAATGCACTGCTGTTCTCATTGGGACACCCGGCCACAATGAAGATGGATAGGCTCCAGAGGGTACGGCAGCAATAACACAATGGCACTAAAGTTTATAACAATGCAGGAACAAGGGGCTGTAAATCTTGCTGCCCTTGTGCTGTTGGCCAATTAAACCTAAAAGGTAGAGTATACGGTATATTTCACATCTCAAAATGGTAAAAAAAATACATGTTTAAAGCTACACCATCAGACTAAATTAACTTGTGTTTGTATGCTTTATCTAATGAAAGAAGTAGCCTTAGGGTTTTTCACTATTGTGCATCTCATAAGGTTCACATAAATTAAACAATCTTTGGGATAAGACTCGTGATTTAAAAGACAAAAATAAGATTCAGTAAGGGAGAAGCTGAATGGTGGTAGAGAGAAACTGGTTATCTTAGCCTGAAGATCATGCCATGTCAAGGGAAACATCACATGATTGACAAGTGCTAGGGAGAGACATGGGGTTTTAAAAATGTATATTAAAGGCCAGCATCATTAACCAGCATCATGAAATCCTTAATGGGATCAATGGCTTCTAGTCCAGGTCAGATGCAAATCAATGGGGCATGTTCCTGAGTGGGTTGGTGAACATTGTGTGTTGTCTGGGTGTAAATGGGGAAATGCTAGAGAGACCAGACCTGCATTCCTTTGTGTTTGTGTGTGTGGAATGGATGTGTATGTATTTGTACCTTCAAGCCTGACCACCAGTGGCACCTTCAGCTCCAGCTCTCGACAGGCCTTGGTGATGCCGTTGGCGATGATGGCACAGTTCACAATCCCACCAAAGATGTTGACAAGAATGGCTTCAACCTGAAAAAAAATAGAGAAGGTATCAATAATAAAATCAGAGTCACAAGTTAGTCCAAAAACACAATACAGTGACATAAACTAATATGTCTACGTCATGTTCTTTACAGCAGCAAACAAGCTTTACAACATCAGCAACACACTCATTGTTTTCTAATGGAAATCTCACAGCTCATTTTTGGAGCCTCACCTCCAGGAGTCTGTACAGGAGGCTGTGCACTCAAAGGCTATACAACACTGTCACACTAGAGGCTACATAAAGCAATGCACTGTTGAATTTAAGAGGGCATGAGAAAAAGGCAACACTGGGGCCAAATACTAAAGCAATATTTCAACAGGAAGTGTTGACATGATGAACAAAAACAAAATCTAATCACCATGCTAGTTTTCAAATCTCCAACCTTGAGGAGCCGTGTATGAAATAAAGCTTTGTGAAGAGAATTACAGACTTTGGCTATTTAATTAAAAAAAAGAATGTTTTCAAACCACACACACGGGGCCCAGCAGATTCAGTCGTCACTGAACATCCTTCTATCGACCTTGTAATTCAAACTAAACTCTTTTCATTCATTAAATAAATGTACTCTCTTCACCTCAGCTGCTGTGCAGTGTTTCAAAAAAATATATTGTCAACTTTCTTTAAGAAATCAGCACAAAAATGGTATCACCAAGTCAAGCAAGGCAGTGTGTGTGTGTGTGTGTGTGCACATGTGTGAGTGTGTGTGTGTGATTACACTAACAATCTAGAGCTTGGTAATTACCCTGGCTAGCTCAGTGGAAAAGTAGACTGAGAGCACACAGGATTAATCCTCCATGTTTGTTTATAATCACTGCTAATCTGTTACCGCCGATTTGGATGAGCAGCTTGTGGGTGTGTGCTTAGATGTGTGTGTGAGTGTGTGTGTGTGTGTGTGTGTGTGTGTACGTCTTTTGTGAATGTGTATGTTGTCAGTGCGTGGTTGTGATTTTTATATGAAGAGAAGATCAAGGAATTGGATAGCTATCAGAGTGTCAGACATGGCATTGTCCTCCATGTGCTATCAAAATGAACATCTCGCTATCAACTGCAGAGAATGACACAAGAGCAGGACAGAGCTGGAAAACATGATGAAGGCAGATCCAGAAAGACACAACACGCAGAAAATTCAGGAAGCTTTATGGTCAACACAGAGTACGGTTTCATAGGGAATATGAGATATCCCCAAATAGATGAACACTATACATAGAATAGAAATCGTGTAATAAATAAAGACCTCCAGATTATGCATGAAATGACACAAAATGATACACAATTCTAAAAAAAAAAAAAGGCCAAGATACTCTGCCTTTTAGCCTCTAACATGTGTCCGCTCAAAACAAACAGAGACAAACCTACATTTTCAACAGAGAAATTCAAAAGTGTCTTTGGCTGGATTTGAACATCTTTCAAAATCTATTTTCCAGATTCGAACACAGGCCTTATGTTCATGAGCCCAAAATAACAAATTAATTTGGATGTCTTTTGTGGCTATAATTGGAGAGTGAGGACAGTGGACAGAGCTGAAAATTGAGGCAGGAGAGAGTGGCGAACGACATGCGGCAAGGGAGCCACAGGTCGGACTCGAGCCCTGGCCAACTGCTCCAAAGGCTACAGCCTCCACACACGGGGCGCGCATTAACTATCTGCCACCGACGGCCCGTTATATCTGAACTTTTTGATGACATAATGCAATACGATGTGTGGCATGTCATGTGAAAATAACTCATTTTCACGTGTGAATAGGTTAAATGTCCCCTTTAGTCAAAGCTGCTATCAAGACAAGTCCAGCCTTAATGTTTCTGTGCTGTTCACGTTTTGACGACTGAAGGGAAGCTGCCTTCAGCAGTGCATTAACACGACTCACTGATGTGTGTGAACAGCATCATGTGTTGACTAAGAAACCCAGCAGAGCCAGATGCAGTCACAATAGTACAGATAAAAGCACATTCACAATAAGTGAGACAACTTAAAGGAAAGTTTGATATTAGTGCTGTTATCTACTTCATTGAACACGATGTGTGAAGAACCGCAGACAGTGAAAAGACAGCATCAGAGATGAGCAGTGGGAGTTAGACAGAAAGTAAGGAAGAGGTGTGAAATGACACCAGCGCTGTTGTTCTCAAACCTCAGCTGCATATTGAAGTGTTCCTCAGTCAGTCGGTTAGGTGCGATATGCAGTTCACAGCGTGTGTGCGGGTGTCTTTATTTTATACTGCCTTAGGGCAAAAGCCTGAGTGTGTGATTCCCCGCTACTTTGTGCATGTGTGGCCCACAGCCGCGGCATTAGGTCAAGAGTCAACTTATAGACAGCCTATTAAAAAAAGGGGGAAATGCATATCTACATCTAGACTTTTACTGACATAATCCCTTTACTGTATGTCCTCCAGCTTGCCCGGCAGCATTGGGCCAAAGGTTTTACATATCTTCAATCTTCTACATGTGCAAGGTTTAAAAAAAAAAAAAAACCATCCATAGAATCAAACATAACATGATGAAATGACTGGAAGTAAAGAGAGATTGAAGCTCTATTCCTAAACGCTCAATTTATTGACATAGAAATATTACATGACTGTGGTGTTTGAGGGATAGGAGGCATATCATACTATATCAGTGTATTTGATAACTGTGACTGAAACACTGGCTTTTGAAAGAGTAAGACTTTTGACTCAGGTTCTACAGAAGACATGCATTCACACACACACACACACACGCGCACACACAGACAGAGTACCATGTGGCTCCCACTTGGGGGCAGCAGAGATTTAGACGCCTGGGTTTCGGCCTCACTAGAGAAAGCTCTATTCTTACCCTATCTACAGCCCATTTTTCAACTCGGTCTCTATTGGGAAGAACCATATTTCTTCCATTCATGCGTCTCCTATTGACACCCATGTATATTAATGATACACAAGATATGATTTATGTAGCTTGGCACAGAAGTAAATGCAGTTTAGAGAAATATGGATGTGGGGAGGACTGAGTTGCACTTTGCTGGAAGTTTGTTTTTTGTATTCATATAATTGTCTCTGATTTTGGATTACAAGCGAGTGTATGGCCTAAGGAAGATTATTTTCCCCTGGACGAGCAAATTTAAGCAGACATTTGATGTAAAAGCTCGACTACATCTGCCACTTCCATGTAAAGATCTCAGATCCTGAGCTATGACACCCACACACACAACCCCATCTCTGTGATTTGAAGTGAAATAATGTGATAATCTGTGCCCAGAGGGAATGGAGCCCTAAATTGAAAAATATGCAGCGACATAGGGGGTAAAAGAGCAGAAAAAAAGCACAAATGTGTAAATCTTATTCATCTGACTTAGCATGTTCTCTCCTAAGACTGCTCATTCAGCTTGCAAAATGCAATATATATATATTTATGAGCCTTCATGGGCCTTTAAAATGTGCACCAAAATTGGGGCCAATCCTCTGGGTTTGATGCCCTCTCCAATCAGACGTCTAACACTGCTCTGCTCCATTCAGCTCACAGCGCCCTCAGAAAAACCAGCCTTAAGGTATGAAATAGCTCTGCACACTCCAATCCATCTAAATTCTTCGACATCACACTCTGAAGCATTTTACCTCCTGTCACAGAACCAAGTACAGCCCCTTTCCTTAAAGGCATTCATTTCAGGTGAGCTAACTTGGCAGCAGGGTGGATTTCTTTCATCAGAGCTCAGCATAAAAGGCAGCTGGTATAATGTGCCAGCTCGCTCTTTTTCAGAGGATCTTTGTGTGTTCTTTCAGGGGGTGTTATGGCACGAGCCGGTGCCTTCTACCTGGGTCCTGGTGAAATGATTCAGATTTGTACAAAATAGGATCATTGCTTCTGGCATCCCATACCCTGCTAAGGCTTTTTTTTGTTGTTGCGTCAAAGTAAAAAAAAAAAGGGTCTTCACAGAAGAAACAGGCTTTTCTGCCTTCTATTATATGCCACACTAACTGCATTTAGGGCGAGTAAGAAATCTAGCCCAGACAATTTGACATGCTCACGTGGGGCCTGTATTGTACTCCTCCTGGCTGTGTATTTCATGAAATGGGTCTTGGATGCACTCAACAAAAATATGTGCCTTGTTATTTACAGAAACAGGCACATCTAATTATAAAACTATCCATGGTCATCTTGATGGACTGAAACATTTAGACAACACAGACACCCAGCATCACATTTCAGAGAGTCTTCATATTCCTTCTGTAGGATGATGAACAGAAAACAAACATGATGTACTTTTTTGCTCCTCAAAGTTGCAACCCGGGGGAATAAAAGCATTGTATTTCTTCTCATTCTGCAAGGCTCCTTGTCGCAAGTTGTGCGTGCGCTGCTGAATTATCACTCAAATACACGTTTTCATGCCCATACCCCTGTTGAGCGCCGCTAATCTGTCTGCAGGAAAGAAAGAAAAGGGAGAGCATCTTGTTTCCTTTGTTACCGGCGAGCAGATAGGGGTAGAAAAAGACAGGGCTGGAGATGGGTGTTTGTCTCTCTGTGGCCTATTAAGGGCTATTGTTCTGTCTTATCTACTAGAGACAGCCTGTACTGTCACTGCCTTCTCTGGCAGCCCTTGTGTATTTTTTTTTTTTCCTCAATCTGCCGGGTGCCCAGCGCTCAGCCCTTGGGCCACAGGTTAACATAAATGGCTTCCAATCAAGGCTGGCTCCAATCACACATCTTGGTATGGATGTGTGAAATTGATTACTCAGTTTCTGTCCAATTTGTAAAGTAAGATAGTGCCTGATGTGGTTTATGTGCTGTTTAGGACTTCCTAAAAACTGCTCTGTTTGGATTTGCTGTCACAGCTTCTACCTGCAGATATCTTCTGATCACATAGCATCGAGCCTGGCTACACATTGTTCACTTAAGGTTGAGGGAGAGCAAAAAGGGGAAACTACACAATGCTTTCTTATCCCCCAAAAAAGCTACAATTTCACATTGATTTTCCTAACAGGAAAAAGTGTGGTTGGATCAAACATCACTGAGGAGC